TGGACAGTGCCCTGGTTGGGGCCCTTCCTCCCCCTGGTCCAAGAGCAGAGGGACACCTCAGCCCCCATTCCCTGAGCAGGGCCCTGCCCATCCCGGCCTGGGAAGCACAGGGGAGCCACTGGTGGCAGTTCAGGGATCAGTGGAGCTCCAGCTGGAATTCCCAGTGTTCCTCCTGAGGGACTGTGGATCTGGGGAACTGTTCTCAGCATTAGCACAGAGGAAGCTGCTCAGGGATTGCTTTTCGTAGAGGGAAATGTGTGATATTCCAGCTTTCTTTCCAATCCTCTTGGAGATGGAGATTAACTTCCAAACTTCATTAAAAACCCTGTAATTTGTAGAGCTGTGCCAGAAAAAACAAGCAGCACTTCGGGGTCTGGGTAGTGGTACAGAAAATCAGTGCTGTGACCAGTGAGGTCTGGCCATGGTCCTCCAAGGGAATGAAGTTCTCCCCCTTCCCCTGGGACTGGAGAGGTTCTTCCCACATATCACACACAGTCCATGTTCCAGAATGTCCAAGGAAGGAGTGGATGTTGCACTTTGTGATGCTGTTCCATGGGCACGATGGTGCTCTGGCAAAAGGCTGGACTTGGGGATCCTGGAAGTCTTTTCCAACCTTAGTGATTCCAAGATAAATCTGTGGGGTGGGATTAAATCCCAGGGGGAGGAGGGACAGGGAAGCGAAGTGGCCCCTCGGCTGCTCTCCCAGCACGGGCCGTTCCCCCCTGGCTCATGTGATCCCCAGGGCAGAGCCTGGCATGGCCTGGCAGCCTCTCCCCAGATGTTCTGGTGGCAGGAACAGCAGCTTCCTGGGCAGAGCCTGCCCTGCCAGTGGTGCCCCCAGGCAGCCCCTGCCAAAACCAACACTCTGCTCAGAAAAACCTTTGGAGTTACACGGAAATAAAACCGGCACAGCCTGTTTTCCCAGGCTCCTCCAGGGAAACCCCGAGACTTTCAAGGAAAAGCTCACACAGATGTGGCCCAGGAATGGAGCAGATTCTGGCCTCATCCAGCACAGCAGCACCTTTTTACTGCAAGCAAGAAGCACCACTTCCCCCCCTGCATTTCTTATGGATTTAAATTCTGTACAAATCATAGTTACAAAACAACTTTTGATTGGTAACTAGCTTGGAGAGGTGAAACGATCCAAACAAGCAGAATCGCTCCCAGTGCAGCACAGCTGAGGAAATCCGCTCTGGAAGGCAGGTAATGCTATCCCTGGTGGTACTGGGAGCATCACAGGCACAGCTTTGGGCTTAACAAGTTCATCTTTCCAATTGAAGTGCCACCAAGAGGTGACTGTGATACAGACACGCTTGGGCACCCCCTCGGTGAAGCGACACAGCAACGCAGTGACTCTGCCTGAGCAGTTGCATATAATAAAAATTAGAAAAGGCTTCACTGCTTTTCCTGTTCTGTATTTTCACTTTTTTTTCTTTTTTTCTTTTCCTCTTTGTTTTGTTTTGTTTTCCTTTATTCCACTTGCAAAAGATCCAGAGGATGTCTCCTTTTTTTCAGGCCAGGTTCAAACGAGGGAGTTTGGTGTCTTGGGAAGTCATCCCAGGGACAGTGCTCTGTGCTGAGGAGGAGGATGTGAGGCAGGTAAGTGGTCACTGCCTTGTCCCAGGATTTGGGAGAAGAAAGCCTGGAATTCTGGCTTTGGCAGCTGTGCTGATAAGTAACTGGCTGACGTGAACTCATCAGAGCAGGGAAGGTGATTTTGGGACAGCAGCTGGAGATGGAGTGAACAATCACGCTCTGCCCCACCACTGTGAACAGGTTTTCCTTTTAAAATTCAGAAGCCTTTTATTTGCCAAAAAAAGAGAGAAGAAATTACAAAGTAAAAATACAAAGATCAAACCATGCCAGCACAAAATGTCTCCAAAACTACTTTTACAAAGTATGAGAACCATTATTATTAAGTACTCAGTTTCCAGCCCCCTCCCCCAGTGACAGCCAGAAGAGGAGCACAAAATGGGAAGAAGCTCTGTTCATGTTTTTCTCACAGTAGCTCGTGCTGGTCACTGAGGTTCAGGGGTTTTTTTGCATAGCCCTGATCTAGAAACTCTAAAACCAGACTGTTAAAACCACGCTTCCATGAGCCATTTTTTGGCCTGTCAGGCTTATTTTGTTTCAGAAACTTAAGCCCGGTGCCTTGTTAGAGCATCTCGAGGGAGCTCCCTTAAACCCTTCCTTCAGGAGCGCGGGAAGGCTTTGGAGTCCCTTTGGAATCCCTTTGCTGTCTGTGCCGTTCCGGGCTAGGGGAGCCGGGGCAGTGCCTGGGCTTTGCTCCCAGGGCTGGGATGCAGTGACTGAGGCCTGGCAGGAAGGCCCCGATCCAGGCGGGATCGCTGCTGAGCCGCTTCTGCAATCTCGGCACGGCACAGACACAGCGCGGGTGACAAACAACCAAAAACGGGAGGTTTGTAAAGACAGAGGACGGAATTTTGCTGGACAGCAGCAGAGCAGAGAGAACCAACAAGCACAAAGGTATTTTTATCAAGCAAAACTGAATTTACTCACTTTTCTGACTACTCTTAAGGAAAAAGGGGACCAGCTCAAACCAGAGCTCAGTGTGAGCTGGGTTTGCAAGGAAAAAGGCAGGATCTGGCCTTAAAGGGCTGCAGCATCTCAAGTGGCTCTGACAGGAGGCAGAGTCAGAGCCAAGGGGGTTCCTCCAAGCCCTCAGGCAGGGATTCCTCGGGTGCTTGGCTGCAGGAGCTGGCTGAGCTCTGAGGCTGCTGTGGGCACAAGCATCCTTGTCTTGACTATCCCAGAAAGAAAAGTTCAGAAGTAGGATGGGAGTTCCCAAATTTACATCACCTAAATCCTGCAGAATTTAATCCTCCATCCAGAGCAGCTGTGGACAGGGCTGAGACCCAAACAGGGTGCGGGAGACCTCCTTTCCTACAGCATCTGTGCCTGTGGAGTTATATTTTCAAGTACATTGGTGACAGGGAATGGATTCCTGCTCCTGGAATAAATAACTTAAATTCCTGCAGGTTTTGCACTGCCACCACAAAAAGAGTGACTTCTGTAACTTGTTCTAATGCAAATGCAAAACATTTGCTGCAAATTGATTTTTTTTTTCCTGGATTAGCTTGTGTTGACCTACCAGGGAGCAGGAATGGGGTTTGGATTCACTCTGCTTTGCTGTAGCAGCAGCGAATCTCTGTTTGGAGAAGAGAGGGCCTGAGTTTGGGGGCCAAAGGGCTCAGCAGAGCAGCTACAAGCTCCTGGCTCCACTTATTCAAGCCAAAGCTTGGAAAGACAACTGGGGTGTTTTACCAGGCTCCAGGCACTGAGTTCTCCAAAGAAAGGCACCAGTCCAGGCTAGTGTGATGGGAGATGGGAGCCTGGATGGGTGGAGTTTAAGCCCCAGCAAAGGGAGGAAGAGCCTGAAGTGGTGGGTGACTGAGGCTGAAACAGTCCAGTGCTGCTGCAGCTCAAAGCTGGTGACACTTCAGGACCACAGGGGGTTCCACTTAAGCCTAGAACAGGGTCAGGTTCTTCCTGTGCTTTGAGGAATATTTGTCTTTGGAGAGATATGAAAGGCCCCTCTGGGCCCTGGCAGTCAGGGAAGGGCTGAATTCCTGCTCCAGGTTCTTCCCCAGCTTCTGCTGCATTTGGGCCTTTGTGGAATGAGCCTCAGGGAGGGTTTTCCCCTGGAGTTTCCAGCTATAGAGGTGGATTCAAACCCACTGTGTGTTTGCTGCATTCCCAGAGGCTGCTCTTGCTTTGGTGAGTGCTCCTTGCTCACAGCTGCCATCATGGAATGCAGGTCACCCTGCAGGGCCTTTGCCAACAGCCTGGGCATCCAAAGTTTCCTACATCCCAAGTCCAGGATCCTGGGGGGTATATGTGCCTCTGGATAAAACAGCGGCTTTGCTCAGGAAAAAGGAGTGATCAGCCCATGATTAATTTAGTGATTAACTCCTGCAGGTATCCCAGGGATCAGTGTTCCCTCCTGCCAGTGTCTGTGGGTACACACAAGGGCTCTGCTGCCTGGAAGGGCCTGCTGGGAGCTGGGATCCTGGGGATCCTGGCAGGGATGCACACAGGAGGCACAGCCAGCTGCTCTTCCAGGGAGGTAACAGGATACACAGTGCACACACACCAACCAAGCACTGGGGCCCAACTCTGACAGTTACAATAAAATCTGACAGCTGGGAAGGTGTGGCCCAGATCTGTTTGTGCACCCCTGGAACTGGTAAGAGGGTGTTCTAATCCCCTGGGAACCACAGACAGGCACTAGCTGGCTGGGAGGCCAAGCCCCAGGAGTGGGTGCTGTCAGCAGAGACACCAGTGGGGATTCTGGATCAGTCAGTTTAATTTTGCACTTAAAGCAAGAATTCATTAGTTACAGCATTTCCTCTCTGAGACTGGGGCTTAACTGATGGGGAGAAAATAAATTTTTGGCAATGACACAGACTAATTCCTTTACTGGTTAAAATACTGGGTTGGTTTCTCTCCAGTATCTCAGCTGAGGCTCTAGGAGGAGGCTCCGGGTCAGAGCAGGCTCCAGGGAGGAGGAGACAGGACAGGACTGGGGCACCCCAGGCACAGCAATTTAACACACCAGCTCAACAGCAAATGCTCTTTTCTTTTGTAAATACACTAAAACCCACCAGGACAAAGCAGAATTCTACAAAGACGAAACGCTGGACAGAGGCAGATCATCTTATGCACAGTAGAAATGTTAACTCTCAGACAAACATGACATCATGGAGTGCTTTAACTGTCCACAGGTTCAAGCAGGGAAATACGTCCAGTACCACGTGGAGGAGCTCGTGGTTCAAACCACAGAGGGACTTCCCTCCCCCTTCATGTTGCCTTCACTTCCAGGACATGAAGAACAAAAAGAACTTGCTTGTGTTTTAAAAGAATTCTAGACTCAAATTGGAGTTCATTTGGCAGCTCTTTTGTCACGCCTGGTGTGCAGTCGAGGGGACAGGGTGGCACAAGGCTGCACTGACTGTCAGTGCTGCATCAGCTGGCACAGGCAATCATTAGATGCTGGCACTTATTGCACATCTGGGGACATAAGAAAATTCATCTAGAAACGAGACAAGGTGCCATCACCACTGGCAATGAGTGTGCACAAGAGCACGTTGTAAAAAGCCTTTTTATAGAAATTGCCTTATTGCAATTACACAGGGAGAGGAAAAGGGTTCTCAAGGTACAGTGTACAAATAAAGCACATTGTTCCAATGCTGGACTTAAGAAAACCCCCAAGTGCCTTGGGACCGAATGCTCTCCAGTTTGAAAGAGATTGCTTAAGTGCCTTCCACTTCTCTATGCTGAGAGATCTGAGAGAACTAGTTTGTCTGACTTGTCTCCAGTTTCAGGGGTAGATAAGACTTCATCTGTATCATAGTCCTCTTCACATGATCTGCAAAGACAAAAGGTGTGTCTTTAAAAGCTGTATTTTGGATTTCAGGTAAGTTATGTCAGTGGCTAACAGATATTAGCATGCAAGAGGTGAAGCTCGAGGAGGGTGTTCCTAAGGCACTGAGAACAGTGTGGTCAGTCCTCTGAGAGCTGCCAGGGCTCTGTGCTCCCATCCATCCTCCTTTGGAACTTCCAGAACAAAATTTCACTGGTGTTCAGCAGGAGAAAATTTGAATCCAGTTTCAATAACAATTGTCAGTAGCCTTAAGAGTTCAGTGTAGCAATAAAGTCAGGCCCCAGTGTGCAGAGCATCTTCTGGCTCAGGTGTGTTCTGACAGCACAGCACAGCTGTGGCCACGCTGGGTGTCCTTGTCTCCTCAGGCTGAGGTTTGATATCCAGGACTTGCATTCATGGCCTGAGGAGATTTGCTGTCAATTCCCAGCTCAGGCTGTTGGGTCCTGTGCCCTGCACACAGACCACCACTCCAGGGCCCTCTGGGGCTCTCAGCCCATTCCCATCCCTGAGAAAGGATGCTTTTGGATGTTTCAGTCTCAGCATGCTCCAGGTTAGTTCCTCAGCATTCCCCAGAAAACAAAATTCTTCCTTTTGTTCTGAAAGCAACACTGCCCACGAAGGAATTGCTGGAGCAGGTGTTCAGTGGCCAGCACAGGAACAGTTTCAGTGCAGCTCTGGGCTGCAAAAGATCAACTCCTTTAATACCCCAGCATGGATGTGCCAAGAAGGAACTTTCTACCACTTCCTGTGGTGTCTCTGCCTTCACTAACCCAACCCTGGAGCCTGTCAGTGCGTCCGGCTGGGGGAGGACACTGTGCTGAAGGTGGATGATCCCTGTGTGGCGAGAGAGACCTTCCCAGACAACATTTTCATCCACTCTTCCCCAAAGAGAAGCACCTGCTTAGTAATTCTGCCACCTTCTGGATTGTTGTGCAAGTGGGAGAAGGGAAACAACGCTCTGGGTTCTACACCAGTAACTGTTCTGACCATGCAAGCCAGGTTGCCAAAAAATATGCAATTTGCCCACTTTTTGCTTCACTGATGCCTGTGGGCAGGCCCTGCTTCCCCCACACAGGAATAGACTGGGAATGTTTGGAGGTGCCTCAGCTTCTCTAATCACTCCTTGGTTTATGATGCAGCTGAGGAAAACTTGGTACTTCCACGTGAATGCTGTTGTTCCTTTTGCATCTCCTTTTCCTTCAGCTTTACCGACTCCTGTTAGCTTTGTTCCTCCTTCTCCTGCCCGTGGAATGTGACCTCTTCCACAGGCACACATTCACCAGCACTTGGGGCTCCACTGTAATTGTTTCCCATGTGCTTTTTGCTCCTGGACTAAACCTTCTCATGCTGCTTCAAAGGGGGCTTCCCACTGCTCTTTCCCAGATGAGTTCCTTTTCCACTGCACTGTTTTGCTCCTTAAGGCTCACAGTGCCTGTCCTTCCCATCTTGGAATAAATGCCTTCCACCTTTATGTCCAAGAAGCATCCATGGGATGCTTTGCCACAAGGTCAGTGCTAAAGACAATCAATCACCTCTGTCCTTCCAGGCCAGTTTCAGAACTTCACAGTCCCATAAAAACAAATGTGGGCTCGTGCAAGTTAAACATCCATTCCTCAAGATTCAGCTCTAGCTTATTCAGAGGAATTACCCCAGGGAATTCCTTGGCTTTCCTTCTGGCAAACACACATTTTGGCTCTGGGTGGTTCAGGGATGTCCCTCATCCCCCTTTCCCGCCTTAACTCTGCTGGGTTCAGGCAAATGAGCAGCTGAGCCATCAGGTAACTTGAGGGAGACAAGGAGAATGGGCTGGGCTGCCTAAACCAGCACCATCTGATCCTGGGCTTCTGTTCCCCTCTCCACCTCTGGAGTGCTCTGCATTTTGCCTTGGATCCCTGTTGCTCAGAGGAAGGGGATGTTTTCCTGTCAGCAGCTGATATTTCCCACCCTATGGAGAAAGATCTCTTTCCGTGAGGGCAGCTGTGGTTTCCATGCCCATCAGCTGGCTGAGGCTGGTTTCTGTTACGATGAACAAAGCTATGCCCACTGCTGCCCCAGCCTAGCTAATCACATGTGGGATCCCACAACGTGGGGCACAATCACTAAATCATCTTCAGTTGCTGAATGATGGTTGTTTTCAAATGTATTAATAAGACCAAGAGCAGATTTCATGTTCTGCCAGCAAACTTAGACAAAAATCTTCCAGTCTCTCAGAGAGCTCATGAATTGTCTTGGTTTTGTCCCCGCTCCCTGTTTCTGTCACCCTCAAAGGACAGCACCAATAATGGATGTGTGAAAACTCAATGTCTCTTTCTGGCAAATTTGTCTGGGCATCCAGCCCTTTGTTTTTCCTTTCTCCTTCCCTTTTCCCTGCATGGTCTGTTGCTATGCTCCACAAATGAGATCTAATCCTGCTGTCATGACTACAGAGCTTTTCAGGGGCTCTTAAAAGCAAGCAGCAAGGTTCTGCCATGCTCTTTACAGGAGGACACAGAGCTGCCTCAGACAAACTGCACACATCTGACATCACCTGCCGCTTTTCCTCTGGCTCTGGGGACTCTGGGGTGTCATGGCCCTGCACAGCTTCCATGGCAGCCTCCTCTGTGCTGAGGACACAGGTGCTGCAGAGCAGCTGCAGGGAATACAGCAATTCCATCGTCCATCCTGCCTTCCCTCATCTGCCACGGTGCAGGCCACAGAAAGGCAGCTGGGAGGGGATGAGGCAACAACCCCCTTGCTGTTTGGATGCACATCACAGACAGGGAGGGAAACAGCTCTCAATAGCTCTGCAAATCCCTGTGGCTAATTAGTAGGTGCTACTGTTATCCCAAGCAATTCCCAGGGTGCAAAGTTTTGAAAATGATGCAATCTTCTCAGTGCTCTCATGGCTCTACGAGTGCTGTTCAAGGGATGCAATCCTGAATTGTGTAAGATTAACATGGGGGAAGCATTCCTTGCATGTTTGTTATATAAATCTAGAGACTTCCAGAGAAATATTCTCAAGACACCAACACAGACACAAATCGAAAAGGTGATTATACTGAGTCTCCACGTATCAGCGGGAAGCCCTTGCACACAGGGAGATTCTGGAGCAACTGCTCTGCCTAAATTCACTGATAGCGAAAGATAGCTGGTGTCTCTGTCCAGAATTTTACAGAAGGCAGAAAACTGAGTGGAGGTATTGCAGAAACCAAATGTATTAAAGAAAAAGTCTCAACAAGCTTAGTAAATGAATGAAAATGTTGAAATACAGCTTATGGAGAGCACGGACTAACAGGCATAAAGTTTGGCAGAAAGTAAAATTATTTGACTAAAGAAAGTCTCTGGGAGGTGTAATAAATGTAACAGAGCTACAGCTTCTCATCTGCGACACTGTGACATGGTCAGCACATGGCCAAGACCAGCAAAAGTCATTGGATAGACCTTTTTGTACGATTGCCAAAAGGCTTTGTCCTTTCTCCCAACTCCCTTCATGGGCGTGTGGAGCTGATTCAAATCCACTGTTTAGTCCACTAATCCATTCCCTCTGCTGGAAGTGGCACCCACATGCTCCTCCCAGCCCCAAGCTGGGCAGTGCCAGGCCGTGCTCACCCCTCCTGCAGCGGCTCGTTCCCGGACTCCTCGGCCACCAGGATCTCGTACTCCTCGGCTGCGTACCTGTCCCAGTCCGAGGGCTCGGGGCCGTCACCGTCCACGTCCTGCAGAGATCACACAGTCAGGGACTGCCCACAGCTCCCTGCAGCTCTCACAGACATGGACAACAGCAGTGCCAGCAACAGGAAGCAACTGGATAGAAGCAGCCACTCAAAAACAGCCCTAACTGAGAGACCCGCCATTACCTCGGAGTATTTTAACATCAGCACATAAAGGTCTATGAAAAAATACAGCTTGAAGTCTATAAAGTTTAGCATGTGACCTGAGCTGCCAACAAACTGCATCTGCTTTATCTCAGAAGGGCAGTAGCCACACACTTGCTTTGCTTTGGCTCAGCACGCCCCGTGTCTGTGCACTTTGCAAGTGGCTGAAGAACCTGGGGGGTAAAATCTTCTCATTAAATGTTAATTGGAACTGAACCTTAGAGGGACTCTTCACTGTTTGCCAAGTTTGGGCAAGTTTGAGAGAAGATTACAGGATAACATTCCTATAAACCTTTGGCCCTCTGCCAATTACTGTAAGATGGGCATAATAAGTTATCCCCCAGCCCTACTTGGCTGCTCTTATGATGATCCAGTTTAAACAAACAAATAAACAAACAAACAGGGTGGTTCTGACTTGGGATATATTTAAGCCTTGAATCATGGAGCCACAAAGTTTCTCTTGGAGATTATGTGGGAACAGCTGTGAGGGAACCAGAGTTGGTTTTGGCATCCCCTCCACTTTACTGTACTTTGAGTAGATAAGAGGCTTCTGGGAGATACTCAATAAGCTGCAGTCACATCTGGCTTCCCTGGCTGTGCAGGGGGAGCTACAAGTGAGGGCCTTCACACCAACAGCTGACAAAACTCAAGTCTGAACATCCCACAGTTTGTGGGGAGCAGCAACTGCCAAATCCCAAAGCTACACTCTCCTCCTGTATTTTCTTTGCTTGGGAAGGGGGGATGATGAAGGACAGAGCAGCCAGGCTGAGAACCAGGCAAAATGTGCAACAGCCAAACCTTCCACGTGGGCTGAGCCCCCTCTCTCAGCCTCTGACTCAGGACAGCTCAGCAGGCTCTGGGGGTTCTCCCTTCAACCTCACACCACTGCCAGTGCTGGTGTCACAGGACCAGGAATGGCAGCCACATCATGGAATAGCAGCAGAACTCGTGTGGGAAGGGATCCAGGAGGGCTCCAGTCCCAGCTCTGCTCAAACCAGGATTTGCTGTGAGGACAGATCAGGGGGCTCAAGGCTTTGTCCATCCCGTCATGAAAGCCTCTAAGAACAGAAGCTGCACAACCTCTCTGGGCAACCTGTTCAAGTGTTTGACTGGTCTACTTGTGAAAAAATTGTTCTATTCAGTTGGATTTCCCCTACATCCAGGGCAGGTTTGAGAAAGCCTGTATTTAGGAATAAATGTGATTTATACCTTTTGCACTGCAAAGGGATCCCTCTGTTCATTGTCCAGGTACTTCTCTAAATTGAAGAAGGTGTTGAAGAACACATGAGCCATTCTGCACCTCTTCAGGTCTCGCAGGGTTACTCTTCCTACAAAAAAGAATGCACATGATTGTGCTTCTGAGTTCTTGCTTAGCAGGAGACTGGACCTTGTCAGTCTCAGCTTTAATTTCAACATCAGCAGGCTACAGTATTACAAAATTTCTTCCCAAGTCAGTCAAGGATTTTAACATTATTCAATAAATGGGTGTGTTTATTAGGCTGAAATCTCACATCCATATGGAGGTCTCTTCATGTGAATAGGGATGGTCCAGTTCCACAATTTAGACTGTCAGCACATCCCACAGCTGGAATACACAAGAAATGTTGCTCCAGTTCTAGCCAGTTAATTCACAAGGTCTCTTGTTTTAGTATTTCAAGCCTCCTGATGGCACAGCCGGCCCTGTTCAGTGACTGCAGCCCTGATACTCCAACACAGGGCTGTACCTACAGATTGGTCACACAGGGACATCTCCTCCCCAGTTCCCCACTGATCAGAGAGGAGGAAAACTCTGATCAAGCAGGACTTACCTTCCCTCTCAGGCTTAACGAGGTCCAGCATCTGGCACAGCAGGTCCTGGAAGGGCAGGGGCTCTATGCCCATCACCTCCATGCGCTCACACTGCTCCTCGTAGAAATATTCCAGCTCGTACATGGACAGCACTCCATCCCCATCCAGATCCATGCACCTGAACCAGTACTCAATGCTGGCAGAGGAACAGGGACAGGGACTCAGCACTGCACTACAAACACATACAGATTGCAGTAGTGCACAATCCCCTCTCCCATCCCCTAAGGCTCCTCTGCCCAAAGGCTGGCACAAAGCAAGGGATGAAAATATCCTTTGGAAGGGCCAGGGCACAGGCCAACACCCAAAGCATGTCCTGATGGTCTCCCAGGTGGTTTGTGAGCAGCACAGCCCTGCTCATGACTTGTTTCACCTGGCAGCTGTAACAGTGTCCACTGTGCTGAGCCCAAGGGTGTCCCTGTCCAGCCCAGCAGCAAGAGTTGGCCAAATCCAGCCAAGTCTGAGCCCAGGACACCAGGACACCCTGGAGAGGGACAAGGAAGGCATGGTGTGCTCTCCTTTGCTCTGCCCCTTTAGACAGAGGGCAGCGCTCCCAGGTAGCTCACCCTACATCCCCACACCCCTCTGGATGCTCCAACCCTGCATTTATGAAATCTTCTCATTCTTATGCAGGAGATTCTTTGTCCTAGTAATCACACACGGCTCTGGATGAGCTCTGGACAGCAGTTTCCCCCTGGCTCTACAAACCAGGCCATGGCAGGTTTTACAAAGGGACACAGTGAAGGTTCCTCACAAACCCTTCCTGCACACTCTGTACATGTGTGAAGGGAATGTGCCTCACCTCTGCCAGCTCCCCAGAGCCAGTGCTTCATGGCACAGGGGAACCAAAGGCACTGATGACTACCAGGGCATTTAACATTACAAGAAAACTCTGCTTCTACACAATTTCTCTTCAAGAAAGGCCAGCAATTGGATCAAAAGTTGACCATAAGTTGCTTTCCTCCTAATGGAACCCAAGCTGCCGTCCCTTGGAGAGAGTGGTAGGTCACAGAAGCTTCTGCATCTTCTCTGCTCATCTCAGTACTTTCACCAGACAGACACAGAAATGAGTCAGACCTTGTAGCACTCCTTTTGTCCTCCTCTGAAATCAGGAGCCACACAAAATCAGCATAACTCATCCTGCCTTCCTTCTGAACCTCAGTGCCTCTGGAACACACAGCAGGAAAACAAAGTTAGAACCCACCAGGCTCCTAAATACTCACAGTGTCAGCAAATAGATTTTTCAGAAGTCCCGAATCATCAGCCCCCCACCCAGCCTGTACCCCCTGCACCTCCAGCACCAGGCACAGCATCTGCTGTCACTGCAGAGCTGAGGCTCATCTACCACATCCCTCCCACTGCAAGGCCTGGGCTCTTTCACCTTCCAGAGACTTTCCAGCAGTGCTCCCCAGCTATCCCTGTGCCATATCGCCCCGCTGTGTCCACCTACCCTATCCTACGGGATTTTGTAATTTGTTTTCTTAAGATACACAGAAGTCTCTCCGCATTTTCAGGCAGCTCCAGCTGGAGCACCCTACTGGAAACCATTCTGGTCAGTGGGGGTTTCTGAGAGTAACTTGCATTTCTAAGCAGCCTGACAGGAATTCCCTTCCCCAAGCAGGGTGGAATCCTCACCTCACCACAGCGCCACTGAATATTCGCTCAATTATCCTGTTGGATAAAGCTGGAAACAAAGAAAACACGGAGAAAATGAAGCCACAGGTCACAGGAATAACTGCAATCAGTTGTTTATGCTGAATCTACATAAAGCCATTTCCCACTGTTAACAGAATGCTCTGCCTGTACTGCCTGTCTGACCCCTCTCTGTTTAGCAGCACTTTATAAAAACCAAGGATGATTCTTCCAGTGGGTCTGTCTCTGTATCCTCTGTATCCTCAAACACCACTCTGTCCCACAAAGATGGCAACTGCTATCTGGGTCCTTGGACATGGGCAGTGTTACTTCTGCTCTGCTGCAGAAGGATTTGTCACATAAGCAACCCCTACTGGTAGCAGGAGACTATTTCAGTGTGCACTGCAGCAGAAGTTCAGTTACCAAGCCAAAATGACACCAAATCCTACAAAACACTTCTCAGCAGAGCACAGGCTGTGGCAATCCCCAAACCTCCTGTGCAGCAAATCCTATCCCCCACCCCACACCCCAGCAGGGACCAGGTCTCCCTTGTCACCTCTCCATCCTCACCCTACCCAGCCCTACAATCACCACTGCTGACCCTGGGGCTGCCACACTCACCCAGAGCCCCCATGGCCTTCCACAAACACCTGCACTCGGGACACGAGGCCTCCTTAGCCCTTTGTGTTCCATTAGTTTATCCATGGTCTTGAACCCTTGAAAATTCACAGCACCTGCTCAGGTTGTGCAAAGGAGGTTCCACATTGACCCCAAGAGATGTTCTCCTGAAATTCCCCAAGCTTCACTGCACCCTGGAATTTCTCTCATTGTACTTCAGCAATCTTGGGAGTTCACATGGGCTTTGTCCTTTTTATCCCTACTTCCAAATTCCTGCAAAACCCTCAGCAAATAATAAGCACAATTCAGGGCATTCTTTTAGCTTGTCCTTCTGGCAGTGGCTCACATGTGAACAGAAGCTCCATACAGTACACAATAGTGTGTACTGCAGTCCTCAGTGTCTTAGCCCATGCAGCATTTACTTAAGAGCTGGATGGCTCCATTTAAACTTTTTTTGAGGTATCCAATTGACCAAATCAAAGGCAGGCTTTGCTCTTGAGTGAGAGCGGTGTCCCTGGTCCCAGCACAGCCTGCAGGCACCATACCTTGGTCACTGTACCGAGCCAGGTCCTTCTGGCTGATGTAAAGGTCATGGTCAGTGTCCAGCTCCCAGAATTTACAGTAAATCACATAGAAGTGCTCATAGGAGAAATAGTCTGTGATCTGATTTATGTCATCCTCTTCTTCCAAGAGAGCAAGGGTCTGAAAGAGTACAAACCAAGTGGGAAGTTAAGCCCAGAGAAGAGGCAGCTCTGCAGCTGAAGTGCTGCAGCGTGGAGGAAGCTGAGGTTGAACAAAGCTCTGAGAGCCAACCTCAAATACAGCCCTTCTGCCCAAGAGATTCTCACTGTTTTAGCCAAGTCCTTCACCCTTCAGCCTGAAGACTTTCTGGCTCCTTAGGCTGGGCTGGACACCAGCAGCCTTAAGCAGTTTTAAGCTGGTCCTCTTTTGGATTAAACATGCAGAGGACAGAGATCCAAATGCTGCCATAAGGGCACAGCAGGGACTGGAACAAGACATCAGCTCCATTTGTTCTCCTGGGGGATCAGCTCCTGGGGTGATGACCAGCTGTCAGAGGGCTGGGAGGCAGATGGGCTGTCCTACCCCCTGGCCCTGCAGCAGCTCCTCCTGGCTGCCTGTGAGCCACTTCACAGGTTGTCCTGCTGTGCCCTGCTGCCCTTCCTGCCTGGCCAGACCACGGAGGCTGCTCCACGGGGCTCCAGACCTGGTGCTGGTCCCCCCCGACCTTCTCCCAGTGCCCCCTTGGCCACTGCAGCCCCTGCTCCTCTCAGCTCAGCTCTGACACGGCTCCTCCACCAGCCCCAGCGCTCTCCTGGCACGGAGCACTCAGCCTGTCCCGCTCCAGGCCCAGCTCCCTCCCCACAGCCAGAACAGGGACAGTGCATTCTGGAGCTCCTTCACACAGAAACCAACGTACCTGCAAGAAGTTGCTTTTCCTCAGCTCTGTCAGAGTGATCCTCCCAGACCAGGAGCGGTTCACGGTGTAGAATATCCTCTGTATAACCTGCAACACACCAACAGCGCTCTTGAAATCCGGTCCTGAAACACCCCAGCCTGGGATTTAAACACTGGTTTTGTTTATTCACTCAGCCTAACGACACTTCTTTTTGAAAGCTGTTTGGTGATTTTTTGTCGGTGCTGCTGTTCCTAATTCACTGCACAGCCTAAAAGAAACATTTGCTTTTGAAACAGTATCACCCATTTCTACTCTGCAAACACTTTCACTGCTCTTAATTCACCTCTTTGGGCATGCAGATGAATTATTGATGGCAGGAACACGTTCAGAGTGCTGATGGATCGCTTTCAAACTGAGCTTAGTGGGTTTTAGGGGCTGCAGTTTACACAGATCTCAAATGAAATAGGGTTCTAGGTTCAGGCACCAGGAAAAGAAAATGCCAGGACTTCGGATTCTTCTGATTCCTGCAGAGGAAGCAGGAGTGTAAATGAAAGGCACAGTTGATGTCTGAGCTATTGTGCCTCATGTTCCAGGGGCTCCCTGAAAGTGAGCAATAGGGTTTATCTGTCTGCATTTATCCAGGGGAGCTGTGAACCTCATTTGTCTCCTCTCCTGATCTGCCTCCGGTGAAAGGGAGTGAAAACCACGGGGGATGCACAGAGCCCTGAGGGACCCAAGGAAACAGCTCAGGGTACGAGACTGAGCACACTGCCAAGCACTTCAGAAAGCTGAGCCCTTCCTAATTTGCTCCTTGTCCCCTTTTCAAGGATCATCACTAGGTGGGGAAGCACAGGCAAGAATAAACCCACAGAGCAAACAACAACAAATAAACATCTCAGCATCAGAAATGAGAAATAGAACTAACATGGCTCAGCACTGAAATCTGTGGAAGATAATTCTTGTTGGCCGAACCCAATACAAACCTTTGATGTCTCTGACATGTTGACATGTTATCCTAAAATTTTGGTAAACTTTAGTGCATCCTATTCCAACAAAAAAATTAACTTTACACAACAATGGACATTACAGGGATTAATCCAGCTAACAAATGAAACGGGGTGAGGTTGTCTCTTGGTTAGAACGAGTTTCAAGTGGGCAGCCACCACTGAAGGGCTGTGCTTGGGCTCAGTCACACAAGTGCTGCTTCTTAGTCCAGAACAGATCTGGAACCAAGTCTGACATTGCTTTCCACAGCCTGCTTTGGGATACATAGCAGTGTATCACTGAGACAGTAAATGCTGATGGCATACAATTTTGAGAGCAACAAGAATGACTTGAGGATTTGAAAATGTATCCTGAAGAGAGAGAATTAACAGACTCGACTTAGCTGAACATGACACCTATTGGTAACACTGCAGGCTCTTCATCACTCCAGGCCTCACAGGTAGATGTCCTTCTAAAGCTGGGTGTCAGATCAGTTAAAACCAAACACAGAACAGATCTATCCCAACTGCAGCAATCACTGAGCACTGTTCTCTGGCCTGTGTTAGAGGTCAGACTAGGTAATCACAACGATCCTTTCTGGTCTTAAGCCCAATGAAAAGGCTCTGTGTTTGTTCCCTTAATGCCTCTGGCAGCCACTGCCACTCTGGAGTCTATTTTTGGACTTTGTTTGGCTTTTGCTTCCCAATTGCACAAGAGCTGAGAGACTGGAGTGGGTCTCACCTCATCCATAACCCATTATCACACCTGACAACCCTGTACCAACTCAAAGATACAGGCTGTTCACACCATTCCAGGCACTCACAACCAGCAACCCCAAGAATCAGAGAAAGGACCCCATACCAGGAATTCTTCTGCTCTGCCTCCAGGGTAATAAAGGACAACAAACTAGTCCCATCTGAGACACATAAGAAACTGTTCATCTATCAGACCACACTGATAGAGATGTTCCTTCAGCTCCCTCCTCACCTAGCTGTAAAAATAAGGCACCCAGAGGTAAAATGGGATCCATTTTCATCTCTTTTACCATGTCCAGTCACTCAGTACAGGCTTTATTATTCAAGTAACAGTCCAGGTGCAATGGATAGTAGTACACAGTATATATATCAGTATAAAAATCTCAATAGTTCTGTCTTTTTTTTTCCAGGTTGTGAAAACCAAGCTGCAAAAAAAAAAGCATTTGGGAAACACCCCAGACCATAATCACCCAGCCTGACAGGAGTTGCAGTATTTAAGGCACACTTGTCACTTATGTCTTACTGAAAGCCAGAACTGGCTTAGTTTTCCCTAACATGGAAGATTGTTTATTCTGAATTCAGTACATAATCATAGACTCCTGAAATATCCTGAGTGGGAAGGGACCACCAGGATCATCAAGTCCAACTCCTGATAAGCCTTTGCAAGGAGGAGCCCCTTCCTACTTGCCCATTATCCTCATGTAAACGACCTCCAGGACCCAAACCATCGATGGATAAGTTCCAGTCCTTTCCCCAGTCTTCCCACAGAAGAACACAAGCAAATACCACTCCTGGAAAACTCCACAAAGCTTTATTACCCCCTCCATCCTCCCCTTACACATTCCCATTGGTCCCACTGCACAAGCTCTTCTCCACAAGCACTGTGTTTCAGGCTGGTTTAAGCTGACACTTTTCCAACATGCAATGCTAACCCTTCAGCCTGGGCTGAACGTTCTGGTAGAAATCACACTTTAAAGCTTTACAACAAATGCCACATGTTTCTCTGCACCATCTTCACCAGCCTCAGGAGTCGGTCTCTGTGGAAACAAACACAACTAGTTTAGTAACACAGTGGCTCACAGGTACAGTACAGCTAAAATTCCAGCCTGGGCTGTCCAAAAGGCATCTTTAAAAGGTGCTGAGGTAGCAGTGAGAATTGAAAGGTGCATACACATCTTACCCATTCTGGCTGGGAGCTCACTCTCCAGGTGATTTCAACCAAGTGACGGTGTATCCAGCAATGAACACAAAGCCATGCCTCCTTACAGGCCTCACCTGGAACAAAAATAAACTGTAATTCTTGCGCTGGCAGCAAACACAGCATTCTGTCACTGTACGTAAGTATAAGGCACTCTACCTTGAAGCAATCAAAATGATCCAAGTAGTGTCAAAATCCAAGGGCAAAGTTGTCTCCTTTATTTTACCTCCTGGTGGAAATACTGGATTTTGTAACATTAAAGAGAGAAGTGCCAGACTGTCTGTGAAAGGAGAGGTGAGAAATATGAACTCCCACTGCTGCAGAGGGCCAAGTGCTGCCACTGCAGGAGGGCACAGCCTGCCCTGCCTCTCCCGACCCTGCTCCAGCCAGGGAGGGCCTGGCAGTCGGCACAGACACCCAGAGCACGAGGAGGCTGAAGGACAGCTCACCTTGGTCAGGTCTGCTGCTGCACAGCCACAAGCACCACCTGCCCTGCCTGCCCTTCTGTCCCAGGAGTGCAAATATAGATGCTAAAGGCTCTGACTGCAGCAGAAGAGCACTGTGGGGAGCACAGAGGAGCTCCATGGGGTCTGGTTATGTGACTGCTTTATGGTGGGGACAGAGGTGGTACCCGAGCACCAGAGAAGTTGTAGAGGAGAGAGGAAGAAAAAGGTGCTGCCCTTTAGTAGGAGCCTGCACTTCAGTTTTCTTGAAGTGGAACCTCAGCTTCACACAGCTGGTCTCTCAGACCACAAGCCATGAGGTCCAGAAAGTGCAGTGAGGGTATTACCCTACAAAGACATTTGTTTCTTGCCTGAAAAATACAGGAACAGTGTGTGACTTAAGAGGAACCCGTGAAGGCAGAGCTGCCTTTGTCAGCACCCAACAGGCAGCCCCAGGACAATTGCACATGGCATCCCGAGCTGTTGGTACTGCAGTCAGAAACCAACACCAGTGTGACCTCAAACCTTCCAGCCCTCACCCCTCTCTGCACCCTGAACACCAAATAGCAGAGTACACGTGCCACAGGCACTCTGCACACTCACCCACTCCTGTGCCTCCATAATCCCCTGGCCACTGCTCTGCCTGCTGTGGACAGTCACTGCGCTTTATGTACCCTGCTCCACGGGGAGCGTGTTGATTATACACTGGTGTTCACCGTCATGTTCCAGAGCATCTAAAACATTTAGAATTGGTTCCCTTTATACACTTCCATAAAACATTAGTGTGACAGTTCAGGGTTTGCCCAGGGAAAGGGTCTTTCTGCCATCTGCTCCTGACAGGAAAGGCCCAAGCCTGTGTGTGCACCAATGACCTCCCAGCTGCCTGTGTGGTGCAGCTGGTCCCAGGCAGGCCCTGGCAAACAAACAGGAGAAACCTTCAACCCTGAGCCCTGCTGGGCTGCAGCTCCTACCAGGTCTGTCATTCTCTGAATTTGTTACTGCTGCACAGATAAAACATCCTCACATTTATACCTTCCCTCCAGATTCATGCCTGACACGAGACAAGCTCAAAAAAGGAGTCCAAACTTACTCAGCCCAAGTGCTGACTGCAGCCTTGGAACAAAGCTACACAACAAACCCCAGGCACAGGAGCTGGGAGGCACAGGAAGCCAAGGCAGGCCTTCTGGCAAGAGAAGAGTTGGATAGTGGATCCCAGTGTGCAAAGGATGCTTTGTAGCAGGAACAATCCCAGATTCTCCATGTCCAAGTGACAGAAACCTTCCTACAGGCAGCCTTCCATGTCTCAGCAGCCCAGCACAACTCAGGGTGACTTAGCAACTCTCAGAGACCAAAGAACCCCTTTTCTATTTGTCAGGACAAAAAAAAAAAAAGATGTTTTTATAGAGTTGCTTAAGACCAGAAAGGATCATTATTAACCTTTTCAGTAACCCCTTGTACACACAGGCAGATTGGTTCTTCCTCTGGAAGAACTTCCTAAAATACCTCATTGCCAGACGTATTAAAAACACCTATTTTTTTAAGTAATTGGAGGGTTTGTGACAGGAACAGTGAGAGGTCCCAAAGGGAGGGTTGGCACAGTGATCCCAGGGGATCCAAGCAGGCAGCCTACCGTGGTGATGTACCGGGAGTGGAACTCTGGGGCGTCCTTCAGGAACGTCAGGCCAGGGTGAGTTTCCACCACATCCTGCAAGATAGAAGGAAGCCAAATGAAATAGATTTTCTTCTCCTTACAATGTTGAGAAGATACTGTAAAACCAATACTTTTGCAGCATTAGCAATAAAAGTGAAATGACATTTTTTAATCTATAAGTGAACCTTCTAGAATTACAAGTATAATACATTTTCTGGGCAATACACACCTGTTGGGCCATTTTGATTTACTTAAGGACAGAAAAACAAAGGAAGAGAGTTAGTGAGTAGATGAAAACTCATTTTCATTGATGAGACAAAAATTAGTTAGTTGACCATGCAACTATCTCCTCTCTTTTTTCCTCCATTCATTGAAGATACTAACATTGGTTAGAGCTAGGTCTCAGAAATGCACATTCCTTGAGAAAAATCATATTTTACGTTCTTCACAATGAAAGCTCTGTGAGCATCAGAATGCTCACGGATTGTAGTGCTTTTCCAAAATTTACCTGAAGTACCTGTGGAGATGCCTCTTTCTCAAGGTAAGTGAAACACTGGCCCATGGTGCCCAATCTGCATGACCAGATACTGGAGAAACTGCTGAGATCCAGGATGGATCAGTTTAGGTTCTGGATGAACCAGTGGCTGTGTAATTCCCACGTGTCTGACTCCTCCACCCCATAAGAGGGTTCCAGGTTTTGCTCTGCCTGTTCCCCCCATGGTGCCCTCAGGGGTGTGATGTGACCAGATTTTGGGCAGTGTAACCCCTCGCCTGATGTGGTGATGGTGTAAGATGGCGTAACTGTGCCTGACTCTGACTGACAAACAGGACTGGACACGCCTCAGATTGCACCAGGAGCTGAAAGGCAGAGCTGCAATCAGTCGGGAAAGGCTGTGTGTGCCCAGTGGGGAAAAGATGAAGAGGAACATGACAAAATTTACCCACCACACCCCCAGTTTTGTTTGAGAGACAGAAACATCCAGTGCAGACACAAAATCTTTCCCCAAAGCAGCATCTCCAGAGGTTTTGCCATGAGGGCAACATAGTGGCAGAAGTATAGGGATATGTGAAATGTCCAGAAAAAGTAGCACCAGATGATCAGAGCAGCAGATGGACTTGATTTAAAGAGAAACTATAAAGAAGCCCTAAAGCTACCCAGAGCCTGCCTAAATGGCCACAAATAATAAAAAAATTATACTGTCAAAAATGTCATGTGAACAACAAAAAAAAAAATTAAATCAGGAAGCACAGATTTAGCCTGAATATTAGAGAAAAAATAAGCAGTGAGACTTGTGCACCAGCAAGTTGAGAGGCATATACAGAACCCTTGGAAGTGCGGGAATTTTGCCAAGATTTCTACATTATCCTGTATCTGGTAGCCTTGCTAGACAAATTCAATTATAACTGTCTTGTCAAGCAACTTTTACAACGTTTCTAATATGCTTTTATGTTGTGCTTGAGCATCAACAGCACCACACATTTTTCCCAATACCCACGTGGAGAAGTGGGGCAGATTTCAGCCTGGTTACCAGGCACTGACAAATATGAATCCTGACAAGGCAAAAGAAGCCACACAAAGCTTTGACAATCCTTTAGCAAGATTTACAGCCGGGTGGCATTTAAGCAAAACAGTCCACTTGAAATGCTTCTTTCTTTTTCACTCCAAAACAAACCCCATCCAGGTGTTGTTCAAACCAAAGGTCTGCTTGTCCTTGGTAAACATTTAAAGGCATGAAAATAAAGAAGCTGCAAAATGAAGGTGGCTGTGTGCCCCCCCCTTCCCTGTACCTGGAGCAGTGGGATGAAGTCCTCCTGCTGTAGGTAGTCACAGCCAGGCTTGGCCAGGAGCGATGTGAACCTGGAAGCATCATCGTGGCAGTTCCGCAGGACTCTGTGGGAGAGGGGAAGAGTCACCCCAAGCAGCTGCACCTCAGCACAGCCTCAGATGGGGCATGAGGTGCCTCAGCACTCCCCTCAGGCAATACCCACACTCTGAGCTAGGCAAGAGCTCAGCTCACACCACCAGCACGCCCTTCAACACCTTTCAGCAGCACCAAGGTACCCAGTGGAGGTTTTCTCCATGTTGACACTGCTGTGGCAAGCCAGGGTTCTTACCGGAGGCCGTTCTTGCTTTGATTCCACAGCTGCTTAGTGAGTAACCTGACTTTCCAAAGGCTGCCCACTCACTGCTCTCACTGGAGTCAGCACCAACCCCCTGGGTGTCCCAGGACACCCCCCCCAGTGGAACCCCTTCCTAGAACTCAATATTTGAGGGCATTGCCAAGGTACAGTGATTGAATATTCACCCAGAAAAATCACTTCTTGGAAGGACAAAGAATGTCCCTTGTTAGTTCAGCCCACGTGGCTGCTGTGCTCTGCAGTCAGGGAGAGCAGCCCAAGGGAAGCATGAGCAGGACTCAGGATTTAGAGAAGCCTGTAAATTCATTCCTTAGGTTGACAGTTTGCATCTGACACACAAATTCTTGGCTCTGCTTTCTTCTAATGTGAAATACTGCTGGCCAAAGGTATCACAGTGACTTAATTCACTCCAAACAGAAAAACTCATGAAAAGAGCAACTCCGTGACACTGACCAAATACTGGATATATCAAACACTAAGTTGTTCACATTGTATAAGGGAAACAATAAATCACTCAGAAAATTACCCTGTTTTCTTTAATAACTGTGAAAATACAAATGCACTGTTAGTTATTTACTGTGAGTGATTAGTCACTACCTTCCTCTCCTAAAAGTGTACCAACATAGCACTGAACTGCAGAGATCTCACTGGAACTTGTTTCCTGCTAGTTCTGGCCTCCTTACTCTATGAAAAGCAGTCTTTAAAAAAAAAAAAAAAAAAAAAAAAAAAGTAGTCGTTTTTTTAAATAAGCAAGAAAAGATTAGATTTAGCAATCCTTTGGCTGCACATTCATATCCTGGTAACTGTCAACTGACAGATACATTCTAAATCAGCCACAGGAAAACGTGCTAATGTTTTAGCTTAAAAAAATCTGGCACACAAAGAAGAATCCCAAGGCCACGTTTTAGCCACAAATTAAACGATCTGACATTCAGGAGTATTTTCTATTCAGCAGTTACTACTGACTTGAGGAGATCTGTGAGCATGGAGCATTTTGGAAATCAGGTCACCTACTAAGATGCTTGAAAACAGACTCCAGCAACCCAAGATATCTGTCCTAGAGCTACACCTGTGCTCACAGAGCTCAGTCCAGCTGTACCAGTTACATTACATTTCTTCCGCCTTGCACGTTTCCAGCAAAGATTTGTAACTGTCAAAGGGAAGAGAAGGGAGGGAAAACGTTTTCTTAAAATGAGCAATTAAAGTGAGAAAAGCATAGAAAGCTTGGCTTGGAAAAGGGGTGGCTAAAAGGATACAGAAGAGGGACATGACCACAGTCTGCAAAAATCTGAAGGATGTGAAAATCAGAGGAGTGAAAATATGTGTTATCATACATGAGGGATTAATTAGGAGTAATTGGAGGAACCTAAGGAAGGAAACATATTGTCTGTGTCAAGACAAATGTAGTTACCACAGAGCCCCCTCACATTTTTGCAGTTTTGCCAGGGTAACTAGAAGCTGTTTTAACAACATCATCATAGGAAATACTTTGGGGATTCAGGGTTAAAGGCTACTTCAAGAACCTGAAGAGGAACCATTAAGTAAAGAATTAGAACTCTCTCTCTCTTGGAGATGGAGACAGTATTCAGGTGTTCCACAAAGTGGAATTGCCCTGGAGGGAAAGGAAAGGGTGTTCCATGTTGCACCTCCACTCCCAGCACATCCAGAGCTCTCGTGTCCCAGGGCAGCCCTGACAATGGGATGTGCAAGGGACTGACAAACCCCATGGATTTTTATGCTTGAGGAAGGTGAGAAGTGTTACAGCTCCCAGAGTATCCACTTGTATCATGATACTTTATTTTACATTCCTTCTTCCTGTCCTGTAACACCATCACCCACCTCCTCTCCCAGTTCCCAAATGGCCCTCCCTTGGTGCTCCAGTGTAGCAGCAAGAAGGCCCATGATAAATACATCCAAAATCCACTGATACCTATCAGCCATCTCAGAATAGCTGTCATATTCCTAAGGAATGTGTTAGGATATTTTATATGCCAGCTAGACCAAAACAACTTATCATCTATACAGTTGCTTATAAGTCTGTTGATGCCACATGGAAACAAGTGTTCAGAGAGTTTCAGGGAAGAAAACTGAAGCTGATGGAGATTTTCAGCCATTTAAAGAAGACACAGAGATAAGTCTGGTGGAAAACAAGTAAGTGGGAAAAAAAAAAAAGACTTCTGTGGCAGGCTGCTCCCTTTTTCCAGGATAATTTGGCATTGCTGTACTCACTTTCTCCACATGGCCACGAAGGAGTGCACAGATACCCCTCCTGTCCTCTCTCCTCCTGATGCACTGAACAGAGGTGCTTTCCAGTAGAGTGGGCAGCCACAGACCTGTAAGGAAACACCAGGAAAAAGAGGATTACAAGAGCAGTTCCAAGAGGAGCCTGCCTATTTACACACCAAACTCACCACTGAGGCTTGACATGAGGGAAATAAGGTGGCAATGGCTTTCTGACTGACCTGTGTGCCAAGGCTGAGAATTCACCAGTAACTTTCTACTTTGTGCCTTTTTAAGTGGCTGGGAAAAGGATCAGGGACTGTTGAGGTCTTAAGCTCTGTCTTAGACTGAGCTGTTCAGCAAAATTCCCCACCAGGTGCAGTGGAGGGAGACAGGCACCTCCTGCTGCTCATACCAGCTCCATCCCAGACCTACCTGACCCATTCCCTTCCCACTGGCAGCTAGGGAGCCTCAGCTCTAATTAGAGACAATCAGTGGTTAAATGCCTGGAGGGGAAGTAATTCCCATCTCATGGTTTTCAGTGCAGTGTCTGCCACCCAGCCCAGCCCCTTTTCCCAACACTGCTGGGTAACACAACTGGGAATGAACAAATGGGAAGAGGTTGACTCCAGCAAAAGGACTCCCTGAACACTTCTGACCCAGGCTCTGCAGAGGCTGCTGCTCTCAGAATGGCCTTCAGTGAGAGCTCGGACATTCTGGACTCTCCAGGGCCTCAGCAAAGCAGGCTTGAGAATGGTGGCAAACAGCTGCTCACACCATCAGGCACCTCCTCTTCACCACAGAGACCTTGCCAGCCACTGTCCTGACTCCAGACAGGCATCAGAACTTCCACAAAACACTAGCCTTGCAGGGAGTGCAGCTGGCTCAGGCCAGGCACGGAGAAGGAGGATATCACAGCAAATGGAAGGAGGAGTATTTTGAAGCAGCAGCTGAGGCATCATTTGTGCCTTTCCCCCAAGGCCTCTTTCACCTCTTCTATTAAGCAGGACTATCCTGCAAGCCCATTCTCAGCTTCTTGTCCAGGCATGTTTCTTGGGGAACCTCAATCAGCCCAAGAGATGCTTTTGGATTTAGCCATCCCTGTGTCAGGCAACTGCGCTTCCACAGGCATTCAGCTCCTCTGAGAAAGCTGGGACACTCACTTTTTGCTGTTTCCTTTGTGTAGCTGATTCTGAAGCATTTATTTCAGAGCCCCAAAACTGTACCACTGTCAGTAATGGCATGGAACAGAAGCAGCCTGACAACAGCTAAATGGCATGAAGCACATCTGGGTGGAGACCAGGAAAGGAGTCCCTTCTACACCAGCCTCTGCTTTGAACATGACAGGCCCCACACAGTTGCCTGTCTTGCCATTAAACCAGTTTCAAGCCTTTTCTGGTCAAGCAAAGAAGGTTTTCTATCTATATTTTCAGAGCAGCTTTACAAATAACGTATCTGGATTCCTCAAAAAAACGAACAAAACCAACCTAGTCCCTCTTTTCAGGAAAACCCTCCTTCTTGGAAAACAAGTGGTGCTCTTGGAAAGAACACCACTGCTCAACTTACAGTGCCAGAGATACATTCAGGGCAGGCTGAGCAGACGAGATGTGTCTGACAACTGCTACTTTTATATCAGCAGCACTGAAAACCGTGGTTGGAGAGAGGGAGATAGGAGGGACCATCTGCACCAGTGCTGTTCCCTGGAGCCAGAGCTCCTCAGCAGCCTGGGACTCCTGTGTCATGGACACTGGATGTACATCTCTGAGGAAACCATTTTGTAAATTAAAGCAAGGAGGAGCACACACACATCTCATGTGACAACCAGCAAACTGAGCTCAGTTTTGTTTACTGTTATCTTAATCTAAACAAAAAACTTCAGCACAGAAGGATAATAGTTCTTTTTTTCTGCAAGATGATTTGCTTTCATTTCATTCTCTCTCTCTCCCAAAAATTAAAATCCTAGAGAACAGAACCACAGAGCCGTCAAGGATGGAAAAGACCTCTAAGCCCATCAATAGTTACCTTAGCAATTTTCCCCATTTCACAGATGTTTGCCTTCTCATCTTCAAACTCTGAAAAGGCCTCTTCAACCCTGGCAATGATTTCCTCATGGTTAGTGCAGACATTGGGAAGTCCTTTAGGGAAGTAGAAACGTGGAATGTTTATGGACGAGGGGGCACTGCTGGTGGCTTTGTTCACAGGCAGGAGAGTGCAAGGGCCAGCTGAGGGTTTCAGGGGGGCTAGGGAGGGAGCTCCAGGCTTCTTCTCTTGTTTACTTTGAACCTGAAAAGGTAAGGAATAACAAACACCTTTTAACAGCAGGGCACACAGAGCAGGAAAACACTGCTTGTGTTCCCAGGGATTAGAGACAATTAAACCCACCAATAATGGAATTACAGCACAGGGATAAAAATGCATGTCTTAAATAGTCAATTAAAAACTCCTGCTTTATGAAACACTGCAAATTTAGGGAATGTCACACCTGCTTTGATGCTGTTCCTGTGCATTTGACATGTGTAGCTGTGGATTATGACTGATCACACCCTCTACAACTCAGCAACACCACACACAAGGACAATGTCACTTCTTCTAATGCTGGTCTGTGTTGTCACTTTGCCCCATAAACAGCAAAGTATCAAAACCTGCTCTTTAGTGTTTCCCCTTAGAAATAGAGCACCCATCCACACAAACATCTTGCCTCAAGTAAGACCAAACTTTCCTTCATAACAAGGACATTTTCTATCCCCTGGGAACACAATTAGCTTTGATAAAGTGTTGCCTCACAGACAAATTAGGAAAAGATTTGCCTTAGTTTCAGGAAGCCCTTTATTCTGTGCCCAACTCCAACAGACCTTATTTTGTTCCAAGCACTGAGAAACCAATTTTCCCATCAGAATTAGGAGCAGCCAGCACAGTGCCATTAGGCATCCACAGGATGTCTTTTCCTATCACTCCTCTCCTGTCTGTAATAAACACATGGTTGATGCGGTGATCCCCCTGGATCACCTCTCCAGTGGATCTCTAGTTCCAGCCCTACCTCAATGCTTTTCATCACAGGCACAATGTGTATTTCAGTACATAATGAGATCCTAAAGCTGAGAATTTTTCAGACATGGGAGGGAATATTTTTTCAACTTTGACAAACAGTTACAATATAAGCAGAATTCAGCTGCTGGAATGCCAAGGGATGACAAATTCCCTGCTCCCCCACAAAGACACTCTTCCTTGGGAGCAGGCAATAGGCTTTCCCATTGCACAATGGTTCCACTGCAAGAGTTATTATTAATGTAACAACATATGTGATAAGGCTCAGAAGGCAACAGTCAAGTAAATACAGCTGCGACTTTCAGTTTGTTTATTCTGACTGTTTCCAAACAAAATGGTTTGAGGAGAAAGCAGCCAAGTCTGAGATCACTAAATGCAGAAGAATGTATATGATGAATGGACTAAACTCTTTGCATTATTATCCATAAACTTGGAGGTTTTTCTTAACACACACTGGATCCCCCAGCCTAGTATGGGTTTGCTCTCAGGAAGGTGAGGAAATGAGAACTGTAAAACCTTCCTTGAGCCCTGTTTTTACCTGCAGTTTATAATACTTTATAAGCCAGTCCTCAGAGACCACGAGGAAGGCTTCTCCTCCTCATCACTCCTCTGCTTCACTGCTCTTCCTTTAAATGAAGAGCACCTCTTGTTTCCGAAAAGCTGGCCCATTCAGGAGCAGGGACAATGGCACACATGCCAGCCAAAGTACACTTTGGTTGTGTATCAGATCTGTACAGAACACATTAAACTGGAGTATGGGATTCCAGGTCTTCCTCTCTTGTGTCTTAAATCACAGGAAGAGCTGAAGCTCACTCTCAGCCTTCAATATTTCTATCAGTGCCAGTGCTCAGAGTCTGAACAGTCCTCAGTGTAGCTCTCAACCTTTGGAGAACAGGCCTGATCACCCCCATCTGTTCTCCCTCCCATCTTCCTTGGTTTTTCCTGCTCTCTCACACACTGCACCCCTTTGGGTCTGATCCTGAGTGATGCTGGAGCCCAAAGTGGGCCAGCTCTGAGTCCCAAAGTGTTCCTGGGGCTCAGCAGGGCTGTAGGACGGGGGAAGCACCAGCCCTGGTGACTGTCCCACAGCAGGACAATGCAGGTGACCTGAGGGGGTGGCAGAGGTTGAGCTGGATGCTCCCTTTGGGAGCACAGCTCACTGGGATCATGGAACACAGCCCTCTCCTGGCTGCCTTCTGCTCTTTCCTCAGTGGAGTAACAGAAGCAAAGCCCAGCCAGGCTGGATGTGTCTGGGGAGGGGGATCTGACCTGGAGAACTCTCCCCCAGCACCACTTCGGCCTTCACCGCCCCCATCCCCCTGTGCTGCCTGGCTCAGCCAGGACCAACTCCCTCAGTAGCTTTCCCTTTTGGATCCCAGCAGAGGGAAATCCCTGCCGGTCTCTCACAGCACCAAACAATGCAGGGCTGGAACAGACCCCGAGGTGCCACTGCAGCCACTTGACTTCTATAATAGGACTTGACAGCAGTTTGCCCGAAGGCCCTTCTCACAAACAGGTTTCTTGCTCCCTGATCTCTGTGTCCCACAGGCACTCCGGACTGTCAGCAGCACCCTGAGGAACCAGCAGCAATGACTCAACGTGAACAAAAACTCCCACAAACCAAGACCTTCTTCAAAGGACACTGACTCTTCACTTCAGCAATAGATCCCTTTCCCTTGCAGTACAAGGGAATGATAAAATTGTATTTTTCCTCTCTTGGAAGGGGCAGAGACATCCCCCAGGCAGACCACAGCAGCACTGTGTCATTCTCCTCCTCTTCTGCACACCACATACACCCCAAGGTGGCACAAGAGCTGATCATCCTGTAACACCACCCACCCGCTCTGCCCACATCTCCACCTCCCAAAAACCAAAGCAATTCCTCCCCCTCCTCCAGGGACTCCCAAAGCCAGAAGCCAGCTGGTACCAGCTCACACAAGCCACAGCTCCAAAAGCTCCAATTATTTGCTGACCCACAACCACCACACAATCCAGAAGGCTGGAGATCTCTAGGAGCAATACAGGGAATTCTGCCAAGTCTCAGAGGAAGGACCCAGCGCAGACACAGGTTTGTAGCTGCCCTTCCCAGGGAGACTGACTCACTGATCCCACTCAGCCCCAGCCAAACAAGGTGAGGCTCTGCTCAGGGATGGCTCCTCTTCAGATTCTACCTCAGGAACAGAAACACAAAAGTGGTATGCAAGCAAATTCTGTGGGAATTCCTTGGAAATAAACAGCTTCTTATTGGGGGGGAAAAAAAAAAAAAAAAAAAAAAAAGCAAAAAAGCCTTAAATGTTCTTTGCTTAGTGGAACACACTTCTCCAACAGGGATGTGCATTTTTGGAAAGGATAACTAAAAAAGGAAACTACAAACACTTTAATAAATCCTTTAGCTTCGTTACCAACAGCTAACAGACTTTTTTTTTTCTTTTTTTGCTCAAGAGGAAGGTGAAATCAAAGCCCATTTTTAAACATTGCTCTATAGCATTGTATAACTTACCTTAACTGAAATCTGTCCATCCACTAAATCATCTTTTGCCAGTCATACAATTTATTTATGGACAGACTAAAATAGTGACGTGTGTTATAAATAAACCAGACAGATCTACAGCCTCATTGTAGTTACAAAACAAAGCAAAGGCCAAACTTCTGCCAGCCCAGCCCATCTCCCAGGGTTGTGCCAATCCCAGCAGAGAACTCCATGGAAGGAAGCAGTATGACATCAAGTGCTCCAGTCCTTTCTGCTCCTTCCTCCTGGCCCCGATGTCTACCAGGGTCCCAGATAATATATTTACCAGTTTCTTGCTGTTTTTCCAAAGGGATTCTGTAATCCTCTTTTCTAGGGTACAGTGACTCAGCCCAGGCTCTCGCAGTCCACAGAGCTGACTTCATGTCTCCTTTCATTTTTCATAGTTCCTGCCTTGCTGGAGTGTGATGGTAGCTGGACACAGGCCATCCCCAAAGCTCATCACTTCTCCAGAGCTGCTCTGTGTCTGTGGCCCGAGACCTTCTCCTCCTTTTCCTCCCTTTCCCATCTCCTTCCTCATGCCTCTTTCTTACCCATTTCTAATGACAGTAGGAACAGCGAAGGCTCATCTGCACATGGCTCCAAACAGCACAGAGCTGTGAGAAAATGATTTCTGGAGAGCACCTTTTCTACAAGGAAACAAACTCACCCGCAGAAACGAACTCAATCACAGCAAAACAAAAATTAAACTCGACCTAAGCAACTGAGAAGCACAAAAGGATTGAGGTGGGAAGAGACACAGAGCTAATTCTAAAGTTGGATCAAGCTCCACATGTCCTTATCCAGTGGAATTTTGCAACCCCAGGCCTCGCATGCCTCCAGAACAGTTCTTGAGATGGGGGTTTACCAAAACCCTGCTCCTCCCTTCCTTCCTGGCCACAATCACCCCTCACTCACAGCTCTGCTCCCTCCTCACCACCCTGGCACCTTTCCACCTGCGAGCACATTTGTGTTCTCAGTGAGCCCAGTTCCCTCTGCCCTCGGGTCAACCCGAGCCACCAGGTACAGCTCCACGAGGCACAAGAGTCAATGTCTCACTGCTGCAGGTGGGACAGCCCCCATGCCTGTCCTGCACTCCCAGGTGTACACCCATTCTGTGCCTCAAGTGCCAGCTCCAGAGCTCGCCAGACCCCTCTGGGAACCCACTTAACCCGCTTGGAAAGGCAGAAAACAGACTTGGCTTTGCTGCTGGATGACATTCTACTGTGTTATGAGTTAAGCCAGGTAACAGAAAGGCCTGTGGATCCCAGGGCAAGGCAGGGGGTACACAAGAGGAGGCAGCAAGAGGAACAGGCACTGAAAGAAAGAAGAGGAAGCCCATTTTTCCAGCTGCAGCAGTTCACTCGCCTTGCATCTGCAGCCACAGGGCACTTATTCCCGATGCATTCCGGTGATGCTGCTGCTTCAGACCAGGCCCAGGGCTCGTGGACCAAAGTCAGTTTTTTCAGCTGATCTAGTGGGAGGTCTCACCTCTCTCTCCCTGCAAACCCTGCCCGGGGATGTCCTCAGTGTCAGCCTCACTCTGCAGAGTGGATTCAGCTGTGCAGCTCTTGTCAGTCTGCTCTGAACTGCTCCCGGCCGCCTAAGCCATTACTGCACATTATTACCTCATGCAATCCTCCCCCAGGGAGGGAAAAACACACGTTCCAGAGATTAACCTCCAGACATCCTTTAACCTGTCACCAGAAAGCATGAAAACATGGCCCACAAT